ATGCTTGTAACTGCACTTATAACCACGTCTCGACCGGCTCTTGCTTAGGTGACTACAGCACTGATCTGCCCTTACTCAGTCAAACCCTGACAATCGCGACCCGCAGTCGCCTTTATTTCTCCAACCAGAACTAATTGCTGTGCACCCTTACATACAGCAGTGCTAAACATCTCATCAGAGACATACTTTGCAGATCGCAATTGACGATTACTATTTCTCCTCATCTAGAGACCGTGACTCTTTACTACTTTTGCCTCCCGAGATTTGCTCAAGGCTGTTAAAAGCGTCGCCACGGATTAGTTCGAAAATCACATGACCTGTACCGAAGCTATCGCCTCTTCACGCTTGCGTCTCGAAGCTTCTGCTTGTCACCAAGAGCGGTCTTGCTTGCTCACCAACGTAAAAGTGCTTAGCCATAAATGCTTGCAAATTAATCGAATTCATGGTCTGTGGTTATTCAAAAACGCCATGAATGGGATTTGATACTATCTCAAATCTAGGTACAACGTTTCATGCCGTCAAAAGTTTTAGAAGAACGCAGGAAAATACTATCTAAGCGGTGGGGGTGCCCCCGAAACAAGACACATAAAAGCCTATGTCTATAATTCTACAAACTCACGTACTCGGTTTAAGTCTTCCAGACGCGCATCATAAGTTTTTGCATGAGTCTTTTGAATCTATCAGGTCTTTACGGCTTTGCGAAGCCGTGGAGGATGATATTGACAGCCAATATAATTGGGCATTGAGCTTCACCTTGCTTAGTGAGAGCCAGCACACACAGGAGCCCAACGCATCTCCGCAATGAGTTTGACCGTCTCGAGAGCCTAGCCTTTCTAATATTTCAATCAAGAAATGGGGGGTCCGCAAAAAGCAGATGCTTGAAACATCTGCAGTAAGCTGAGACACTTATCATCAGCAAAACGAGCGCACTCTTTCTTCTTAGACTAGGCTGATGATTATCGCTTCTGGTGTTTATAGAGTCAATAATCCTCGTACCTTCGACACCGCACCCCAACCGACCTCCGTGTTACAAAAGTTGCATTTGACTAAACACTCTCCGCATTCGTGCAAAAGGTTAGATGGACAGAGGTTTTGTGTGATGTTTAGTAATTCTACTGTGTCTAGAGTGCGTATACATCTCAGTTTCTGTGATTGTTCAAAGCACATATCACACTTTTATCAACTTTATAAAGCACCTAGTACATTATTATTATTTGCAGTTAACAATAGTACTTTGGTAGAATTGTACACAGCTGACAGTACCAACTACTGACTGTTAATTTGAGAACGATGGGATGATGAGCTTCCGTAACAATGAGCTTTGTGAGATTCTTTGGCTGGTGATTTTCATCATGCGGTGCATAAAGTTTACTTGTTTCGTATTCAGTAAAACAAATATATTTTGAATTGGCTTAAACAGGCTTGGGACCAAGCCTGGAGTAGAAGAGCGTAATAAGAAACTAGCTGTTGAAGAAACACTCAGCTTCTTCTCTGGTGAAGCATGCGAGTTCAATCTCTGTGCGTTAGTTAACGCGGTTATTGTGCGTAAATGATCTTTTTGTGCAAGGTGCACTGTCACCCTGTCGCGCCTGACGGCACTTGCCGTTAAGTTGACGATTGAGACCTATGTGACTCTATTTTCTGTGAGGATCCAATATGAGGTTGTTCAATTTTCTGTCTTCATGAAAACTAGATATAATTAGTGCGATAATGTTAATTTTGTAGGGATGACACTTATGACGGCCCAACAACCAGAAGTGGTATTCGGTCACCTGGGGATGATGTCCAGGTATGCGACTGCGCTGTTGTGACACCATTAGAAACGCCTTGACCAATTGTCCATAGAAGCTTATATTGAGCCACCGTGGGGCAGCTTGTGTTGAGCGCTCGGCTCTAGGAAGGCAGAGTAAAGTAGATAGCTCTATCTAGTTGAGGAAAGTTGAGGTGGCTACACGGTGCAATAGCGCCTTCTGCTTGCGCTCCTTACACTTGGAGGCTGCACGTGAATGTGAGCAAAAACGTGAAAAAAATTTGCTTATGAGGCTTGCCAAAGTGGAGAGGTGCTGATGCGACAGAAGTCACGGGTGTTCACACCACCTGGTCAAATGTACTGAGTATATACAAATCCTTGTCCATCCGTCATAGATTTGGGTGCTTTTCGAATATGTTTAATGTCAAGCAGTCTAATCGCTGCGACATCTCCAAACCTTTTCTTAGAGGCGGTAATACTTACGATTACAGGTGTGATTCACCAGGTGCGATTCAAACCAAGACTATTCGATGTTATTTGCCAGGAAACTGTGAATGTCATATTAAATGCAAAGCTCAGTTTAAGTGTCGCAAAGGCTAGTTGGTATACAGAAAGCAGAAACCCCTAGAATGCGCCAGAGGCAATAAATTCCAGCCAGACTGAGGGATTAGTTGGTAATCTCTTGCTGTCGAGCTGAAAGTGAAACAAACTTACGTAAAAATTTACGGCAGTATCAAACATCTTCGCCCTGTGCATTCCTTCTCTCTGGACTAAGGAGTACAAAGGGACGAACTTTCACATAAGGTCGTCTGCAAGTACCCCACAAGAAGACCAAGAATCTTAGTGTGCGCAAGATAGCCTACTAGGTTGACGTCAATGCAACCCTGAACGAAGCGACTTCCTATGAAAATAGTTGAAGTTCAGCCGAGATTTGCTACGAGCAACATCAATGTCCTGGATGTGATGAAGCTGTTGGGTGTCCTAGTCGTTTATGACGCTATAGCCTATGCCATAGGCTACAACGCGTAATAGCATTTGAGTCCCACTATCTTACAGAGCTAGAGAATACTACCCGATTCCCAAAAATATAACTACTTGCAGTTTATTACACCCTTGTTATGATCCGGATAAAATTGCTTAGCTCTAAGCCGTTCGTGATTTATACTGATTATGCCTTGTTTCGTACAGCGTCGCCGTCACCACATCTCCCACCGACTACGGCAAAATTGTGACTCTTCTTCGCCGATTAAGCACTACCCGAACTGAAAGATCTAATGTCGCGATGTGACGTTGCTGGTTTAGCAGACGACATGTGTGCGTACGAGTCAGACGCAACACATGTTGCATCGCTTAAAGCCTATTCAAAAGTATATTTTGCTGAGAACAGCAGCGTATGTCTCTACAGGCTTCCTTTGTTTGGCTTAAGACCCGCAATCGTAAAGTATCTCTTGTCTGGATGGACAGGCATTTTGACACGCAGATTCCAGACATCGGAGAGATTACCCTCGGATGTTAGCGTTCATACCTTGCCGCACCTTGATCTATATCTCATTTGAATGAGAAAAAGAGTTGCCTGGCTCTGCACGCTTTTCAGAAGACGGTGAAGACCAAAATTGCTATAACGTTGACACTTGGTTGGTAGCTTACGGTCATGTCATGGAGATTAGCAAGTCTGTAACAGCAAGAGTAGAGGTGACGAGACTCCATTCGACGTTCGCATCGTGCTTTCTTTCTCAAAAATCCAAGCATTAAATCAACGTCTAGCCGGACGGATGCTTCACTGAAGCTGGCTTGCAAAGCTGTAAGAAGAAGCTCCTAGCTGATTGACATCCGAAAAAAGGCGTAACCTCCTCGCCCTGTGCGCGAACTGAGTGCGAATATCTTCACCACCCTAGAACCAAGGTACAGACATACATTTTTACCCAACCGATGCTGCTTTAAGTGCAGGCGATAGTACTGAGGAGCGACCGCCAAAGAGAACGAAAAGTGCTTGGAGAACGACATTACGTCGCTCATTTTGCACTCGATGTGAGCAAAAAATACGTTTTTATACAATCGTGTAAGTATCGATGGTTTGAATCCATAATCGTGGCATTTTGAAATGAACAAGAGCGGATCCAGTGCCAACAGACGGGCAAATTGAAACTTCTAAGCAAGCTTTAGCCTATTAGCGACAAGCGAAACGTTGTCGCGGTGGACTTTTGCAATTTTTGCCTTCAAAAAGAACGAACACAGATTCTGATACTTTTTAAGAGAGAGGCGATGCGCGGATGATGTCTCAATCTTAGTTAATGGCTCGGCCGAAAGCCTTCAAGCAAGGCCATAGTATCAGTTTAATGATTCAAAATATTTTTAACATCGTTGCCTCCTTGCCAAGTCGGGCGTAAAGTGTGTTCGTTGGTCATTAGGACCCCGCCTTTCGGTTCTCTGAGCCATTCAATCGCGAGCAGAGAGAAAACTCTTCAGTGCAAAATATCTTTTTAAAATTGACAGTGTATGGGACAAGAGGCATAGTGAAACGACAACAGCAATGGGTTCCGCTTTAGCGTTCACTTTTGTCCAATGCCTTATAAGACAAAAGATGGGTGGCCTCCACGTTGTTCACAAGTGACAGATTCCGTCCTGTATGCCGTGCAAGTACATTATACACTTAAGTACAATCGTGCAAAGCGCAAGATTCCGCAATTGTAAATTTTTACAGTATGCTTTTGTGTAAATATAAGTATTTACGGTACCAAAACATGACGAAAATAGAGATGATGAGATTTCACAAAAAGAGATCTGAGGAGCATGTGACTTGTTAGCCTCGCGTCAAGCACAAATGATGGCTTATAACAAATATCAGGAAAACCTATATCTAGCTTAAAATTAATAACACTAAGCTCAGATTAACAAAAATTTGAAGTAGCAGAGCTAAGTAAGAGCCTGGCTACTTTCGAGTTTCTCGATTCCACTCTTGGGTGAAGCAAATCCGACCTTTATGCGATGCATACGCGCACCCTTTGAGGCAAATTGTTTGGTAAATAGTGCACGACAACCCAGATGTAGCCAGATCATGAGCTCCGTCAGTATTCTGTAATTGTGGACCTTGTCAAGATTTTTTTTTGGCATTGCATCTAGTGTTGTGATACAATTTATCTCAAATAAGGAATAGTAATGCATCATGCAGTCGAGCGCTTTCATAAACCGACATCTAAGCTCACAGTCCTGTAGTTTGCAGGGCTCTCAGACGTAAACAGCATTCTCATGTATGATTTGTCTGCCTTTGGCCCCGACAGGAGGATTGTACATCCCGGCTATCAGCCCTGGTGTCGAGATTCTTAAGCGCATGACGTTTCAATCATCGAAGAAAAATATGGAGTATTGCTACGAGGTGCAATAAGAGCAAAAAGAATTGTATTAATAGCCCCTCATCAAGATTGAAACGCAATCTGTAGATGTCGAATGTGTGGCAGCCAAAAGACCTGACCTACCAAGTGATAGGTCGCCCCATGGCACCAGGAGCCGTTACTTGTGTCTCTAGATGTACATTACACGTAATACATTATTGTTTTTCGAAGCGCCAGCTCTTGGAAATCTTTTGACTTTGATCAGTAGTAGAACACTTTGCCGGCTGAGAGGTAGCGATGAAGATGTAACCTCCGTCGACGAAAGTGAAAGCAGCCTTTGAACGCTGCTAAACTAAAATATAATACAATGTCTTCAATCTGTAACACAAGTTATGACTATGCTTAATCGAGCCGTACACGTTTGTAGCGAAAAGGGATTCGGTGAAACTCCTAATTTCTTGAAGAAAAGGCGAGCTTATCCTTGCTAAATGTAGTGGTGCCAAACCATGAACGAGTGAGTTTGCATATGTACGAATTGGAGAAATGAGTCAAAAGATCAAATTAGCAACTCTAACGTCGGCTTCATCGCGGATCCAGTCCGATTCAACAGACTTTTGGAAGTCGATGTGCCTTGATTTTGTCCTCGGCTTGCTAGCCAACGAGAAGAAACGTGTAGCAAGCTATACTTTCATGACGACTACGCAACACTGTACGTGTTGATCCATACATTGTCATGGCCTGCATATTCGATCAAAAATTGCGGTACACCATCAAGTTCTGTTAAGTGCTGCTCACTTTACTCGAAACAGACTGTTGATGCTCACAGCGACTATCCACAAATGATGGTCAGACCTAAAGGCGGTGAGAGATAATCTGCGCTATTAGTGCACTTTCGTAAATCGGGAAGCTGTAAATAGCTGTGCTCGTATGCAACAATGCAGCTCTACGAAGTATACCACCTTTGTTACGTGAGCAAAGTCATAGCTGGCAATATTCGTAGGAAGCACTGCAGCTTCGATCGTAAGTTAAAAGAGCTGTCACTGTGATTGACACCTCCCATTAACAGCATCAGTTGTCGCCGTATCAACTGGCGGCATCACCATCTGAGCATACAACTGCTGAAGTTGATGTGTCACTTACTCAGCGGAGAAGGTTGACCATCCTGCTATTCTCTGTAAGAAATGTGATGACGTGTCGCTGTATACAAAGTGGCGTAATCAGTATCGATCAGGAACGGCTGAGATCCAAGCTGATGCACGATGAACTTTACCAAGGTGGGATTTATCGCAAGTCACCCCTTCTCCTGTAGATTTTCTTCGAAGCTTAATACTGATGAAACTCGAATGAGATTATTTTTACGACCATCTTTCTCAGTCGTTTGTTGTTGCTGTATCCGGGTTATTGCATTACGGACTCTCGCTCAGCAGACGAAGCAGAAGTGTTGCGTTGCTAAAAGCTTTTAGCAGCAAAAAGTTTGAAACTCAAATGCCGATTTAACGGTGCACGCAGTTGCACATTTGCGTCTCATTTTTTTCTCCTTTGTCTTCATATTTTACCTCTAAACGTATTCAGCGGATTACTAATTATTTTAAAGCACCAAAGCATCGATTCACATGATACTCACCGTATGGTATTACCTCGAGGCCTTCAAGTACAGAAAGCTGTACGAGCACATGATTGATACCCTTTGAGTGGTCATTTTGAAAAAAGATATGCTGCTTAGTGAACGTTATGTAGTGGTCGCCCGACAAGGATATGCGGGTAAGCTTAAATGTTTGCACGCGGAAAAGTGTGAACGCGATTAGTTTCATCCATTTTTACCATTCATTGTTTTTGGAGTTTGCCGACCGCCATAAGCTTTCGAAGGTATTACCGGTAATGCGTAAATTTGGAAATTCTGAGAAAAAAATCATTTTGCTGCAGTTATCGAAACGAGTTATTTCAAAAATACTCAACAAATGTTATCACCAATATGGTTTGCCGGTAGCATTCGTGTGTCGGAAAAAGATTAGTGTTCCTACAGTAAAGTTTAGCAAATTATTGTCAAGATTTAAGGCGCCAGATTGGGCATGTCAACTGCTGATGATTCACAAACAGAATGTCGGAAGAACAAATGTATCAAGTGGTAAAGGATATTCTCCAAAGCATTCGCGCAGAGACAGAGCGAATTGATCCCATTGATCAAGTAACTATATTTTTGCTTAACTTGTTTCCATAAATTGCTTCTATCTGAGGTTTCTCTGACGCATTATTTTGTGGGTCACTTATACATAGCGCATACTCGTTATCTTCCAAGATGGTCGCCGAAGGGTATTATCATGTGCTTCATACAGTACTCTGTACTCGAGTTTCTCATCGCGAGGCATTTTTATACGCTAGTATGTCATGTGAAACGGCGAAATTACAATAATCGTTTGGATAAGTCAGAGCGGTGCGGGTTTGCAACAGCGCGTTTGATCAAGCGACATATGAGTTCTCAAACGCCTTGACTTGCAACTTTCAGCAGCATACCACATTTTATGTCTGATCCGTACGCCGGACGAATCAGCTTATCAATTGTTGACGTCACCATTGTGACAGGTGACAGTTTATAGTTGATACATCGCAAATGCGCATTCAACACCATATTAAGCCGATCCGGGTTACTTTACCTCAAAGGTGTACTCGGCAAAGAATAATTACCATTCCGTCTTTTTTATTATATGTAGTGACGACGCAATGATGCATGATCTATACAGGGCACAAACGGCTAAGAAAAAAGCCGGTATTCTAAATCAGGCGAGGGTCTATTTCATTACCAGTAGATCAATGCCATGGACTGGGTAGCTTTTCTTAGCGGCCTTCACAAGACGAGATTCATGCGCGATCACGCGTTCATGCCCAATTGGCATCTGCTTACGGCAAAAATCCCACCTTTTGCTGAAGCGCTACTGACGACGTGAAGTATCAACCTGAATTCGAAAAGCCCAGATCCGGAGCACATATAAGGCTTTATTTTGCAGTATTTAATGCAGCCGCTTTGCCCACAACTCAAAGCATACAAAGTGTGTAACGAAGTTACATGTACCCTTGAATGAAAGGGCGGGTTACACAAGATGGTGTGACCGTGCATAGTACACCGCAACGAGAAGTCCCTACGTGGCAGAATTGCCAGTAGTAATGCATGCATTTTAATTAGGTAATACTATATTAATTAGGAGAACCTAAGGTATTAGATATTGGTGGCTCTGCCGCAACTAAACAATTGAATACGGGTTTAATTTTGAATGGAAAAGCTTACTTACCTTGACTAAGGCTTTGCATACTCTTGTAGGCAGCGGATTGCATGCCGCCGCACTCGTACTGATTCTTGTAATATACGTAAGGTCGGTGACTTAGCTTAGCTCCCTCTAAGCAAAGAGCTACGGCAGCCCCGCTGCACTTGGTAGCGCTCGTAGTCAACCTTTGCCTGAACTGTTACGACTGATCCTCTGTGGGGATGGAGCAATACTCCTATTTGCACAAATGAATGCAGGACGGGTTTGATAAGCTGATGTCCCTGTTGGGCCCGGAGGGCGTGAAGCACCTTGTTTCGCAAGGGCCCAAAGCGTTTAGCGCGCGAAGGCGTTTTCAGATTATGAAGATGCTCTGTTAGAGCACCTACAGCAGAAGCTGTCAGCATCGACTGCGTCCATGACGCCGCCGTCGACGACGGATGGCCCCTCCCGGTTCAGGCCACTGATGATGAGATTTAATTCTTTGAGGGGTAGGATGAAGAGAACCTTCTGCTATGGGTAAGAAAGCTCGAGAAGGCTACGGCATCCGCCATGCTCCAGAATGAGCAACAGCTCGTAGTGCAAAATATCTCCTAGCCCGAGGGCCGAGCTCGAGAATGGGCACTAACGTTCGGATGAAGCGGCGTCCCTCCTGGAAGGAGATGAATCGTCAGCTTTTGCAAATGTTCTCGCTGCCTAACCAGGCATATTGCGTACGATCGCGTTTTTTGCTGCCTGACAAAGCAAGCAGAAGTTGGTGGACGTTGTTCAAGAGTTGAAGACTCTCGTTGCCAGGAAGGCAGCAAATCCTCACCCCAAAAGCGGTCGCAATAACCGTCTCTACGGAAGGCTGCGCACTGGCGTGGCCAGAATGGAATTCTTCCGTGTGCATCGGTCTTCTCTGAAGTAGCGGTGAATGTGGCATTATAAGCCGAATTCGACTCTAAGTCGGAACGACTCGGTTGGCATGGCTCGTCGAGCGGGCCTGAGCCAATAGAAATCAGCTATCCTGTGAAAGAGGAGGGAGAGTTCCGGGCTGTCGAACAGCGTTTGAACACTTGACGGTGTTTTGTCTGTGAAGACACTCCCTCACCTTCAGACTGTTCGTCCTCTGCGCAAGGCACGTGAAAATTCAGTGAACCGACGATCCCTTCTAACTGGTCTGGTTTGTCGCGGGGAAACGACACCGCCCAGTAGGCGCGGGGCGCCCTAATGAAGTAGAATTGAGCCTCAAAGATGCAGAGGGCAGCAGGGCCCACCCCTAGAACTTTGTGCTCTTGAGCACATAAGAGGTATGCAAGCCGGACTTGCTGGTCGCAAAAGCGACCGTGAAGGGCTTTGAAAACCCATGGAAGATCCTCATCGATTCCGGTGTGTCGGTCAATTATACTCGAAGATCCACGATTGAAGAAAGTCAGCTATATGCTGAGGCGCTGAAAGCGCAGTTGAGTGACATCGTCACTGTTCGCCTAGCGACGGGGACACGTGTCACGGTCCCGAAGGCCCCTGTGGACCTCGGAGCCAATTTTCTTGACTTTGATAGCGTGGAACGCTGTCTACCCTTAGACTTGGATGCAAGGCATGACCCCATCCTAGAATGGCATA